ACACGCTGTACACATTGCTACAAGTTTTTTAAGCATTCCGACGTACAAATTATGTAAATAATATATATATATATATATTATAATATATTATAATTTATCATAATATATATATATAATATCAATAAATGAAATATCCTTCTTCCTCTTGGCTTACGGATTTTTACTATGACTTTAGAAGGTTTGAATTTGTTTGTTTAAATTACTTCAGAAAATGAAGTGCAAACATCCAAGGCCTTCTCAGAGGTTCATAGGACGCCCTTATAAAAATCCACTCAATACAAAGAGGTGAAAGAAAAATTACTGCGAAAGTAGCAGAATGCGGCGTTACGGAGAAATCCAAAAAGCAGCTTCTTGCTCCTTCAACTTCAGTCTCAGAAGAGAAGGCTTCCTTTCACGCTGGAGCTCGTATTTCGACAATTCAAAGTTTAAAAAAAATTCAAAGACTAACCCAAATGAGTTCAGAAACTCCCCTCAAACAGAGATTAATAGTTGTATTTTTTAAAGCATGTTTTTTAGTGAAACGTGAATTTTGTATAACACAAGGGAATTACTTTTTATGTAAAGAAAAATCAATTTTCCTTTGTTCAGGCTAAGATGAAGCAGCGAATGTGTCGAATTCTGCAAACGTGTCATTCGTGATTACATTGATGACTTTTTCACAGTGAAAAAGGTAATGCCCACAATTAACAAACATTTGCCAGTTCCATGTGCTAAAATTAAATGGAAGCGGAGAGCAACTACATGGACAAAAATTCCCCTCCATCCTACAAATGCATTTGAGGTGGCATGAGGGAAAATAAAAAGATTTAAAGGGAACATAACATATGTGGGAACACGTCTGCTTCACATCTATATGAACTAACAATCAGTTGATTTGAAACTGACTGCATTCGACTAAGTAGAATACAGCAAACAACGTAAAGTTACTTTAAGAGTACTATAAAAAAGGGGGAATCGCCAATCACAATGATATAATTAAAGCAAATGCGAATAAAGTGAGGATTACAATTTGCAGAAGATGATAATCATGAAAGTATGCATTCTATCTCATTAATAAGCAGCATTATCATTAACTAATTGTTTTCATTAGTGGTTGCATTTTATTACTTATTTGCCCTATTGTATTAATAATATGTTACTATCGGTATCATCCGTCTGAGGTGACGTATGCAAAAACTTCTCCCCTTCCCCCGTGCTTAGAGACTTCTAGTTAACTTGCACCATTCATTCTTTCATCTTTTAAATAGCACTTTCACACATTCTTTCACGGTTTTAATTAAACATACAGGTGGTGAAGTAATTATTAATTCCCACAGTTGGAAAATTGAATAATAGTTGTTGTCTAATATTCTCTTCTATAAAATAAATGTGACAAATTTTAATTTTGTACAAATAAATAAACGGTAAACATACTATTTGTTCCTTTCATTTTTTCGAATACTACTACATAGTAAAGACAACGTATTGCAGTTCTGCAGGAAAAACTTGTTCTCTCATGTTTCATGTTAAAAATTACACAATCTTTTGATGGAGATAAGTAGTTATGCCAGCATTATAAGCAAGTGTAATGGCTTCAGTATTCAATGGTTCAATGCAACATTTTAGTTATTAATTAAATGTATTTTGTTTGGTGTTATTATTCATTAGTAGATACAGTAATTCCTCCAATACATTTAGTCAGGAAGAAGGATACTTATTTCTTCGATTTTCTAGATTGCTTAATAGCGAATGTGGGGTTAAAACAGTCCTCTTCGAATCTGTGGTTTTAACTTTCCTATTTACTTCATCTTGCAGGTGTGGTAACGCTATGGATTCATATAACTGTCATATAATATTCATAACATCAACCAAAAAATTATACAAAAGACCCAAATGAAATAATCTTCAAATTATGAAAAGTAGAATATTAAAAAGTTCAGTCATATAATATTAATAATTTTGCTACAAGTTGTTATAAGCTGTGTGAGTTTAAACAGGATATGCAGAGAAACACCCAAATTTCCTGACAGTTATTTAAAATCAAGAGAACTGAACTTCAGATATATTGAATAACATTGTACCATTTTTAATTTCTTTTTTTTATCTCATGTAACATACTATTAACTACATTTTTAATCTCGTGTAACATACTATTAAACAAAATTTTGTGTCCACTTCTGCAAATGAATGTTCGGGAGACACTCACTATTTACACTCGCTCCACTTCAGTTTCAATACAACACAATTACCATAATCTTTACCTGTAAAATGTCATTGTCATTGTCATCTCACTGTAAAATGCAGTGTTTGAAAAATAGAAAATTTACACCCTTTGTAACTGTGCTTGCTTCTGGTCAAAAGTCATAACATCACTTCCTACTTCTGCCTCATCCAGTAGACCTATGCCCTTCTTTGATACAATATCCCCATTTCATTCAGTTGTTATCGCTTTGCCAATTAATCCTCATCATTATACAAGTTCAAGTTCATACGGTGAGATTAATTAACTGCATGTGGAAAATTTACGCTGAAGAGATTGGTCACTGTTAAATGGCAGTTACAGTAAACCCCTTTCATATAAGATACATTGTGAGGAATGAAACCAAGTACTTTAAATAGAAAATTATTTGTTAACAGGAGTCCTCAGGATTATGGTAAAGATTCAATTAAACACAACTTATAACACTGATCTGGTGTAATCTCTCATTATCAGTATTAATGGTTTTGTGATATCTCAGTATCATACAAAAATATATTCCATGTTCCTTTAGATTGCATCTTCAAGTCCTGAATGACATTATTAATTGATTTGGTCCATACTATAACTTGTTTGCTTGTGAATTTGTATTAGGGGACAGCAACTGCTTGTAAAAATGAATTATTATGAAAAAAGAAATTTGTACGTTTCTAATTCTTCATATATTAACGATTCCTTCATTATGGGAAATTAAAATTTTTTATTGACTTTTTATTAATGATAATATAGATTATTAGAAATATTGGTAATGTTGTTGCTATTAAATTGTAATTATTTATTCATTTTATGCATATACATTTATAAATTTTATTTAATTATTGCAGTAATTATTATTGTAAGCTACTTGCACAATGCTTATTTCTCTCCCCCAAATGCAAATCCTGGCCACACACATGGAATCTGAGTTTTGATTTGAAGTACATTATCTTTTGAAGAATGTGTCAACAACTTGAAGCAATTCGCAATGGTTTGTGAATACCAAGGAGATGTTCTTCTGCTGCATTAGATGTACTTTCTACTCTTTTTTTTTACTTTTATGTGGACAGGGAAAATATGATCTCCATTTTGTTAGCAGTGATGAAGAGTTGAGTGGAAAAGAGAATGAATTTATGAAATCAAAGACTTTCAGATGATATAGGGAGAGCTGAAGGTCATCTCTTATACTGTCATCAGTTATGTCTTTTCTTTACACGAGAGGTGTAGAGAGATGGTATGACTTTGCCCCAGCATTTTTGAATAAGATTTCTACAAAAAGGTTTCATAGTGCGACTGAGAGGAACTTGCAAATTGTAATAGTTTTCTCATTAATTTTTGGTTTTGTTTTGCAAACTTTCACCACCTAATGTATGTTGTACCAAAGATTGTTTCCTCTAGAACTTGTGTTCTGTTCTATGATGATGACTGTGCCTCTTATAAATCCTTTGTTATGTCTTCAACTTCTTCTGGGGTGTAAACATGATTGGAACTGAAAAATTAACGAGCGCGCCTCACTGAACATAGAGGTGGCCCCCACAATCCCCAGAACAAAAGCATACCCACTGTTCAGTGGGCATGCTTTCGTTCTTTGATGATGGCACTTCATGAATGTAATTTGCAGGTCTTCCAAGCCTGTTTACACTGATTGATGTGCCTGAAGGGAAGGAATATGTCATTACATTTAATTTGCTTCCTGTTGTGGCTGCAGGTCAGTTAAACTGCAGAACAATAGATGCTTGGACAGTTTCCATGCTGCCAATCATTGGTCAGCCAATGAATAACTTCTTCCTGATTTTTATGCAAATTATTGTGCCCATGTATGACTACTTTAAGTCATTTAGGCTTGAGAAATTATAGTACAGTTTCTCAATACACTTGTCTTTGCAAAATTGTGAAATAATATGCATATTGTTGGAAACCTCCAATAATGCCTAATCCTTATATATTATTATTTTCTCTGCTTTTTCTTTATTATTTTGAATTACCTAATTTGAAGATGAGTTTCACTAACTACGAAGAACTGAAGAATGGCTGAAAATAGGAAGGAATGGTTTCGGCGACAAGGCGTAGTCTTTAGTCCATGATGGTATTGTTATTCATAGAATTCAAGATAAGGAAAACAAATAATAAATACCATTATAACGTAATAGTTTATTTGCAATTTTCAGAAATGATGAAATCAAAATAAAATGTCAAACAAATATATGTGCTATTCATTACAATTTTCCAATGAGCTTGTGATGACAAGGAATCCAGTGATAAAACACAGAAAAGTAGTGGTCATGGGGTGACAGCAGATTGTATATTGCAGTCTTCAACTGTAGCTCAGTTTAGCAATTATCATCAATGCAGGCTGTGATGAATCCTGGTAATATTTCTGAGAATACGTTTGGCTCCATGAGCTAATTTCAACCAATATGTCTCAAATATTGTGTAGCAGCTCCTCATATTTTCCCATTTCAATCCATAGATGGCTAGTTGATATTTGCACCAAGAAAATGTAGTTTTGCATTCAAAATAATAAGTCTGTGGTCTCTCCATTGTAACAACTAGTAAGTCGCAAAACATAAAAGAACGTTTGCTCCCTTTTTGAAGAGGCTGCAGCACCGTGCAGAGCAGAGGGGTTGGAGTGGGGGGAGAGAGAGTGAGAGAAAAAGAGAGAGGAGGGGAGAGGAGAGGCTGGGTAGACACAAAGCCGCGCATCGACACAATGCATTTGATCATGTGCATGCATTTCACTTGTGTGAAAATGGGAGAGTCATTTCTTTTATCTCGGCGGGGCATGTACCTTGTGCCTGAGGCAAAAAACTGACACAAAATTTCACACATATCACTGCTAAACAAATGAAATGATCAAAGCAGAATGTGGATTTGAGGTCATGAGATTGTTCAAACACACCCGAATGTGACACTGATGAACAATATTATATTTATTAATCACGTGTTTTGATTAGAATCGTTTTATAACAGAGTCTTCCGCAAACATCCATTGCACAAATTTGTGAGGATATTGGGTGAAAATAAATGAAAAATGATAAACAGTTGAAGTCAGAAAAACTGATTGACCGTGTATATTCAAGGAGGGTAAAAAAAGATGTATGATAAACAATGTTAAGTCGTTCTTTACATTTTTCATATATACAGTTGCAAGTGGAAAGTTATGTAAAACTGCAAATAAAACCAATGTCGAGATTTTGACATAAATGCACGTTTTAAGGGTTCCAGTTACTGACAGACCTTCAACACTACTAGCGTCTAATCCATACATAGGATTTTCACGAAAAATTATGTTCCTCAATTGATCTGGGTGATGTTTCTGGCCCCTGAATTACAAATGGATAATTTTAATTCTTGGGGGTACTTTACATGAACATTTTCAAAATTTTCTCAGAAGTGGTTCCAACTTTTATCTGTAAATGTTTTGCTTGAATAGACCTATGACCACTAGTAATAAAGGCAAAGATGCTATTATGATAGATACCTCTAAATTTCTGAAAATTTCAAAGGTTACAAATTTTTGTTTTGTTAACTAAATCTGTTCATCAGAATTAGATCTTTAAATAATACCATAACTAATTTTTTATAATGAGTAGTTTTCGTGTTATTTTTGGTAAAATATTGTTCTTTACTTTTTTTGCTATAGAGCAAAAGAGAATTGTTTTCAAACGTGGCCTCTACCTTCAATATTGGAACCTACGATTTCGTCAATTCTATTGCTTCTTAATGTTACATTTTAAAATAATTTCATGCATATTTTCGTAAGTAATTTTTACATAGTTTTTAAATATATTGTTTATTTTTTGAGCGAAGGGAGAAGTGGAAGAAGGATAGGTGTATCATAATATTAGGTCACCGTTACTACCAATGAGAGCTGTGTAACAATTTATTGATGGTAAGAGTCTTAGAGAAGAAATGGAGGGAAATCAGGAATGCTTGTAGGAGATGGATTTATTCTATTGTTATTACATCTTTTATGCAGTGTCATTTTGATGCAATTAAGAGCATATATTTTTTGGCCTCATTTCTAGAGTTACAACCACCCTGTAATTTTTCTGCACGACACTATTATTTATTTTTTTCTCTTTCGAGCCATTCCCAGAAACGCACAGTTCGCGTACAACTCTTTCACTGTCAAGGTGTACCACATACAAGCAAACTAAGTGGCCTGTAATGATATTCACATCTTCATGCATTTATCTTCTGCATTACATATGACAAATTTTTGTTTTCTTTTTCTTTTTAGTCTTGAGGCACTACAGCAATGATTTTCCAACTAAAACAATTTTCAAGGCATGTTTTTGATGTAATTTCTTCTTTTCTAGCTCATGTTCTTTCGTCAATGTACTTTTCCCAGGCTCTGAGATCGGAAGTTGGAATTATGAATGTGATTCACCTTACTGATAAATGCATAGTACTCATGATATTGTTTTCTTGAATGATATTAATGTGTTTTACTTTCTTACTTTCAACATCATTCCTGCTACAGAATAGAACAGTACTGAATTGCTAGGTACTCATTTTTTGGCAAGTCAACATTGTTCCTCGAGTTATTTGATTTGAATTTATTTAAATTAATGAATTGCCATGGATTCTGACCAGTAAAAACACTCCATATTCTCTATGTATGTATTATTATCAAGGTGGATACTACTCATGAAATTCTCAATGTAGTAGTATATCCCTCCATTGACAAATTTATTCCAATGCTTCATGAGCTTCAACATAAGTGAATTGGTCTTAAGTTTAATACAATTCTGAACAAAAATCATAAATTGAAACTTGAAAATCGGGGGTTCATGTGTTTCACTTTTATGTTGATGATATCCTCGTACACATTTCCTATAGAGTAGCATAATATTAATTCTCATTCCGGTTAAGTTCCGGGTTTCAAGTTATGGACATGTTGCCATGAAGACAAACTACTCTGTTAATGTAGTGCGTGCCCTTCATTGTAATATCAACTGTACGTGGTCCCACGTGTCAGGGCGTCAACAATTGCGACATATTTCATGTCCCAACATAATGTTGACTTTACTTTCTTAGTAGATTATCTAGCCCAGGTAGAGATTCGGGCTAGAAATTTGAATGTTTCAACACCTGCCACGGGAATTCATGTTCCTCAGTCGCACATTGTTAATAGTTAAGGAAATTGCCATCTTTTGGTTTGTGTCCTGATCAGTTAAGGCTCTTGGTACCAAATGTGCAGCGACTTATCAATTCAAGACCATGGCCGTAGACTTCTATTTGCTCTATAAATACTCTAAAAATTACATGTTATTTTTCAACAAATTTTATCACTTAAAATAAAAAAGTAGTGAGGAAAGCGAAATTAAGTTAATAGAGACAAGCTGAGAAAGGAAAGTGTTCTCAAGACATGACAATGGCTTTGTCACTGCTACAATAGCTGTGAAGGAATTCTACTGTCATCTACAGTAAATACATTACTATTAGTATGCAAAAATCTTACCTCTAGACATGAAAAAATGTTCCGGGTACAAGAGTTTAAAGCCAAATAATGTGAAAATGCACTCAACAGAAAAAGATCCTCTGTCAACGAAGTCTCCGTTGAATAGCTGAAGAAATATAACGAAAATATCTTTCTCGATATTTTTAGAAAATTATGACTTACAAATTTGGTATTAAAAGGATACATATGGATTAGATGGCGATGGTAAGCCATTCAGCTTAAATATATTCATTAGATCATAGAATTGACCATGTATATCTCCACAAACAGTAAATTTACTGTCATCTGGTATAGCAATATCCACTAATGTTGACTGTTTCATAAATAACTGCTTCACATCCAGTAAAATCTATTAAGAGAAAGTACAAATCAAGTTTACAATTGAAGATGAATTTTCAAGAACAAGGATCATTACAAAATTTGAGTATATATACCTTATAAGCATATATTCTATGAAGTTTCCCTTGCTTCTTGTAAGTTTCCATGAGATCTTCCATAAACTCTAATGTTACATTACCATCTTCTAGTTTAGGACCACTATAGTCATCTTCTATCACTGAAAAAATCAAAATGAGCTTTTTCAAGAAGTGTAGATACTAGAGCATGAAATTTGTACTTCACTACTTTATTGGCAGAGTTGAACATTCACATGAAATATCTCACCTATATTTTCTAAGTTAATTGAATCAGCTATACTTTTTTTCACATCATCTACAGCAATAGCTTTTTCAAAAGCCATCTTCTTAACAATTTTATTACATTCTGTATATTTCATTTTAGCTTGCTTATCATTTGGCCTAGCTTTGGTGACCTGCAGCAATACACATATTTCACTTGATCTTCAAATGAAAATTGCGGCTTAATACATACACAAAGAGAAATATAACAGTCTCTTCCCAACATTATAGTATCTAAAATTGCTCCTATTACACCATTGAGTTTGTTACACTGAAATTGACAAAAAAATCGCTTAGTGAATGGCTCTGTTCCTGTTTTATACCGACGGTGTAAATTCTTTCAAATGTTCAAATTTCAGCTTAAAAAATAGTGTTTCAGCAATTTTGTAATCATATGTTATTGAGATATCACATTAAAATTAATTTTATTTTAAATTAATGATTAAAATTAATTAAGTTTTAACTTACGAATGTAGGAAGAGAGGGTAGTGGGGACCACGTTTTGTCTTGTACAGTTCCGTACCAACTGCTCCTTACTACGATTGTGTGTGTTAGATTATAAATTAGTTGTTAAGTTTGCCATTGCCCTATACTCGAGAGGAAACTTCAAAAACCCAAATTTTATAAAAATGTTAACAACTTGAATGATTTCATGTGAGTAATGAGAATCATAGTGCAAGTAACAGTCGTAAGAAAAAAGAAGAAAAAATGAAGACAATATTTCAAAGCATTTATTTGGTCATATCTAAGGCAAAACACAATAAAACATACACAATACTGACAAAAAATATTAATTCTAGTAGAATAAATATTCCAATAAAGCAAATTTTATTTTTTTGTTTAGTAGTTTTTTGTTGTTTACGACCCGTCAGTTTTTTAGCATGAGGAACTGAGGCAGTTATTTTGCTGTCGTCAATAGCTTTCATGCAGCTCAATCTTGCATCCGCTTGACTGTGCATGTGTATGGTCCAACAAGATAGAATACTATATTCTATCTCATTGGTATGATCACACTCGGGTTGTATTTGTTCATACTATTTTCTGTATTGGCTAGAAGTTTGTGTCTTGATACATTCACTGTGATTTCATTTAACAATTTTATTTTTTTCATTATTTTTTCACGGGTAGGGGTGAAAGTACAGGACGTTCAGAGTATACCCCCGGAATTTTAGTTACTCTTACTAACTGGTATTATTTTTTTATGTTGAAAATGGCAGACTCAAACGGAACTCATTCATGACCGTCGTCACTCCTCCCTATTCCATCCTCTCTGGCTTTTCTCTGGCACAGACTTGCTGATCTTTTGTTTACGTACTCGGTTACTGCTTGTTTTGGAGTATACCGTCCACATTTAAATACTTTTTTGTAATCAAATATTTGCACTTTACGTCTGGTTTTACGCACTTACATGGTTGACACCTCCCCCGCTGAAAAAAAAAATAATTTAATTTTGGTAGTGTTCCGACAGACACTTCCCAGAATAGTTTTCTACCTCGAAGAACTCTAATCAGGAAAACTGTCAAAGGGCAAGTTGTCAAAAATATGCTCAAAATTTACCATTATGAGTGGGGCGTTGCAGTATTTATCCATAATAAGTTTAATTTTGTTGACATGGAGACTAAACAACCTTACTGAACAAAAATATGTAAACATGAAGCTGTCATCTGGTAATGTAACAATTGGAGCGGTTTATTTTTATCCTAACTCTCCGCACACAGCATATGTAAGTTTTGTTGAATCTATTGAGAAGATCTTTGAACAAAATTTGGTAGCTAAATTTATAAATATGGGTGACTTATCATCCAAATACGCAGTGGTATTTAGATAATGATTCTCTTGTTAATGAATACCATGATGCCTTAAGGAGAGAGGAACATCGATGAACTCTTAGAGAGGTAAGGTGCAACAAATTGCGTTGGCCAATGATTTTCATAAATGATTTTATCTTTTATTTGAGAACGATATGGACAATACAATAAACAAGTGTTATCATTCGTTTGTTTCTTGTGATCCTTATCATTAGGGAGCAGATTAATACGTATTCACATAAATTAATGATAACTAGATAACTTAATTTATCAACTGCAAGTATTTGTTTCAAGACATCCTGAGACAAATAAAGCAGTTTTATTTTACATATTTCGGTGTAAGCACATATTTTACATGTCCCCCCATATTTTTTACATTATTTGTTATATTTTTGTGTGGAGAATGGACATCTAAAAGATTAGCTTCCTAATGTTCCAAATACGGACGTTGGGGAGTTCATTTTTGAACTTAAACCTAATGTAATCGGTGTGTGCTTTCGATGGAGATCTTCCGAGGGCAAACCGACCCGCCACTTCCATCGCATGTTTCTTGCGCGTCCACAGTGGGCTATTGTGCTCATTTACGAGTACATTTGTCTTGAAACCTCAATGCATCGATTCAGGTTTGTGAACAGAAGCTTCAATTGTTCGAAAAAGTATGAATAGACCATATTCTATCAAGCGTAGAGCGATAAGACCTCATGAAACTCAGCATATGTAGCGGAGCGCGTTCAGTCGAGCGTGATCGTCGATCGAAAGAATGTGAACTTCCACGTGACTACAGTACCGACTATATTACTGGGAACATATTTGTGCCAATATGACACCAAGCTCCTGGGGTAAGTTATTTATTAACTTTTTGGTGAATTTAACGTTTTATAAGCACATAATTTATTTTCGAAAATATTATGGAACAAATGAAGGTTTATGTTTACACGGAATGGATTTGAGTAGAACAAAACGATTACACTTTGTAACATTACAATCTTTTATATAACTAATAGTATTTATCTATTTTTTCGTTGAAAGTAATTTTAATGTGCGGAGACCTGCGGAGGTTCTATTATTTTATTTTCCAATTTTCCCTTCTTGCTTGGAGCGCCGCTGGGAGTGGTGCGACTTTATTTGTATGAAAAATATATATATATATATATATATATATATATATATATATATATATATATATATATATGTGTGTGTGTGTGTGTGTGTGTGTGTGTGTGTGTTTGTATACATACATACATATGAAAGTGACTCAAAGTCCGTAAGTGATAAAAACAATGAGAATTTGACACATTAAGCGCTAGGACAGAGAATGTGCACAAAAAACTTGAATCGAGAGCCATAGCTCCCAAGAATTAGCTTTGCCACAAACAGTTTTTACAAATAAAGGCAAACGAAATGTGGCTCAAGTTATATATTATAGAATGGCACACACTTTCACGAAGTCAAGGTTTTTTAATTTCCTTGGAGTGGGCTAGCTTTACGGTTTTGTTCCATCCTCTTGACAGCTGCAATCTACCGCCACCCAATATAAACTTTTAAAAAGTTTTCTTAATTTTTCTGTTTTCTAATGGTAAGTTCGAAATATTACTTTTAAAATATTAAAGAAGAGTAAAACCGCGTCCTGTATGGATATTTCCGTTACCAAATTTGGAGCTGTTTTTAAGAAAATATCGTTTAAGTGTTACTGTAAGTGCGAAATTTGAAGCTATTTTTCACAAGAATCTTTTGTGTTTTCGAAAAACTTCATTTGAAATTATATAAAGCACTTTCACTCACAAATGCAATAACGTATATGACTCGCTGGAAACGTGCATATTATCGGTGTAAGAGATATTAAAAAACAAAACATTTGTGTAATATTTGAAAAAAACAACAACAAAAGAATACTGCAAAATGTTTATGTCATCTTAAATAGTGAAATTAGCAGTATCCATACGAAAAGTTTGAAGAAACAATATTGGAGCCAGTTTTGAGAAAATGGTGTTCGAGCGATTCTGAATATGCGGGATTTTGAGCTCATTTTCACACAAAAGTTTTGAGTTTGCGGTGAAATCTGGGTCCGGTTTTGAGAAAATATTGTTTATTGTAATTTTTTTTTAAAAAATGCCCATATTATGCGCCATATTAAGTTGCCCATACTATTGCGCAAAACTACTAAAAGTTTCAAAAAATGAACATAACTTATATGAACGAACTAATTATGGGGACCAAATTTCATTTGAAGGAAAAATCTCTATCTTTAACTTTTGAGTTGTAGGAAGACTCCGAAAAAATTCAAACTTTTGCCATAGTCGAAAATTGAGAGTTAACAGTAAAAATCGGACCTGCGCCACCTTTATACGTGTATTTTACTCTATTCTTACAAGAAATTTAAAGAAAAAAATTGGAACCAATTTGAGAAAATTTTTAAAATGTACCAGAACCTTTATGTTAAGTACCCTCATTTTTTAAAGAATGCTTTTCAAAATCGCGGCGCTTCGATTCGAGCCAGATCGACCGTCAGTCGAAACAACTAATGGGATCCTCCTGCATTCCTGAAAAAGAAGATGTAAACCTTACACCAATTTTTTATCAGTTATATTCTCACTTATTCAATCAGAATTCCAGAATCTACGTATAAACGAGAATGTCCGTAAGTGTCGCACATAGATGCAAAAACTAATCGACCGACTTCGCAGATTTTTTTTCACTTTGTTCTTATGAGTAAAGAGTGGTTTGAATCAAATCGAACATGTGGGGGCGTTGTTGATATTTTATTCGTTTATGACAACTCAAGCGCCCCTGGAGTCAACGCAACCCACCGCAGTCAAGGATTAAGCGCGTCTTCACTGCATACAAGTTTTATGTCCATGTGATTGTGAAATATCGATGGGAATTATTACTTGAGTATTGAGCAAGTAAATCAAATTTCTCCAGGACAGCGTCATAGTGAATGCATGTCCAAATTTGAGAGCGAACGTTTTAACAATAGGATACTTGACAACCATGTTCAAACCATGAAATAGAGGGGAAAAATACTTGCGAGTCTTTCATCTGTTACAATTTTGGACAGGGTAGTGTAAAACCCGATTTACAATCGAGTGACCAGAAATGTAGATGTGTAATACACTGCCATAGAGAAACATTGCCGAGTCCACTATTACTCGCGCAAGTTTTCTTGATACACGAGCTCTTTAGTTCTCATCCGGGGCTGAATAGCACGGCACGTTGATATACTTAGGTTTGATCCGGAACCAATTTTCAATGCTGGCAACAACCACCTCGTACAATCGTGGCATTTCTCGTGGCACGCTTGGGCGAATTAAGTTCAAGCCCACAGTTGGTACGCCCCTTTTCAGCCGTGACGTAGCCTAATCCCTCCTCTCCCCGCACCCCCCCTAAGGAATATCAAGAAAACTTGCGCGTAGTTATGGAACAATTTACAAGAATCCTTAATTGACGGTTTAGAAAGAAGTCAAATCTGCTTATTATTGAATTTTTTTGCTGAGAAATTAGATAGTGGCCCCCAGATCGACGTGGTCTAAACCATCTTCTCTAAACCTTTGATACAGGTAACTCAGTGGCGGCTCGTGCGTATTTGCACGTTGGCATGTGCACACCCTAATTAATTCGGTGCATTTTCTCATTAATATCTCTAAACAAGAGGGAAATACAAAGTCCTCTTAGAGCGTCTCCTAAACATGGAATTTCAAAACATGCGCCGTTCGGAAGCAGCGATTGATACTCCGCCGCCAGTGCCCTTCGTGGAAGCCAGCCGGCGCACACTCGGGATTTGCGACCGAGTAAAGCGCGTCGTAGGCTGCCGTGGGGCTGGAGGGGAAAGAGGGAACAACGGTGGATTTATGGGGCGGAAGGAGCATTCGGCCGGGCGTGTGATCGCCACTGCATCTGCGCAGTACCTTGACATGTCTCGCAGATATAACAGCTAGCAGAAGTTTGTACAAGTATGTGTGAATTTGAACGAAGGAAGTGCGAGATCTCTCTCTTCTGAAAAGAGCTCTCATCCCTTACAATAAAACAATTAAGAATTGACTTAATTTAATAAAATTAAAATAACTGTCTTAATTAAATTAATGAAAATCCAAATACATTTTGTAAACGTATGTAGTTTGCTACTTTTTTTAATCCGTTTTGCAAAACCGAATTTAGAGTGTTCGTTTTTCCATCAAGCGTGACGAAAAATTTACTGAAAAGAAACAGCGTTGAACTGACTGTGTTTCGACTCACAGTGTAGACGGCAAATTATTAAATTGTTTGGAGTATTCGGTAACTTGTACTTCTAGCCTAAAATTTGTAAAGCAAGCTTATGGAAAATACTCTATAGCGTAGCGAAATTTGCGTGGTCAGACCGAAGATCAGGCCTCATGGGATGAATCTCGCGCGTAAAATAAGGCATCAATTCAACTCACAAGTGCGAGTAAAAAGGTTTTGAATCAACGTGCACAATAGAACACACTGTTTCTGGTACGTGCTGAGTAGATACGCGGTAATCCACCTCATAACAGTAAATATTTCGGAGGGATCCTTGCCAAGCGAAGTCGAAGCAGGTGTTGTGAAAAGAAATGCGGACAATCGTCACTGCTGATGAAATATGCCGTTCAGCATGCTATCAGACTTCATAAAATGCTCTGTGTTAGATTGTCATTATTTATGTTAATGAATACATATGGATGCATGTAATGTATGCCTTTGTATATGGGTGTGTGTATGAGAGAGGGGGAGGAAGGGGGAGAGAAGGTGGACACCCTATAATGGCATGATCACGAGCCGCCACTGAGTTAACCATAATATACTTTTGGCAAAGCTTGAAAAGTGTAACCAGCATAGTACTGTATAAAGTTGGTTGAGAAGTTATTTGATGCGTAGGAAACAAAATGTGAAATAAGAATCATTTATCTCAAAAAACGTTTTGTTTATTCTGGAGATCCTCAAGATTCCCATATGGAACTCTTATTTTGTACTGCTTATTAACGATATTAAAGTGAACCTATGGTCGAACTTATTTCTTTTATTTGAGGACGATTTGAAATTATTAAATTTCGGGATTGTATTTGCCATTGGGAAGATGTTGATGGTCTTCTCACTTGCTGTAATTAGAATTTTTTATATTTAAATATTGTAAAGTGAAAGTGATGGAATGCTCAAATAAATACGAATATGATTAGTCCATTGCTTATAAAGTGCCAGAACTGGTGGTGGAATCTGAAGGTCTCAGAGTAATTTTTGAAAGAAAGTTAAAATTCTCCAGGCATGTGAAATATTTCTGTAACTGATCTGTAAAAAACTTTGGATTTATTACGAGAAAAATGCCGAAATTTGCTTACATATGCGCCCCCAGCATGTTCACCACTGTATGCCAATAATATATCTGGTTTAGAAACAATTTTTCTGAAAATTTATGGAGCAAGACAACTGCGTTTGCCTTCTTCCAGGTTGACCTATAATTACGTTCCGGTTTGCTGGTAGTGCAGGGGTGTACGTTTTTATTTTGTTAGCAATTCTATAAAGTCAAACCTGAAATTCAATGAAAAGAACGTTCCTGTTACTCTGGAGCGAAAATTTCGAATTTCAAATTTGTTCTTTATTCATCATTAAACTATGTGTAATAAAAGGTAATCTAGATCAAGAAACCGTGCACGGATTACTCCTAAAGTGCTAAGTGCTCAACGCCTCCTTGGAGATGTGTTGCGTCAATTGAAGACGCAACAAATTAAAAAAAGCCTTTCTTTAATTAGACATTTAAACTAATATATATATTTTGGATGAGATTTAGCTTCTTTAATTTGTTTTATTTTATGTAAAATGAGCCATACCTGACTAGTGACAAACTTTTTGAATCAAATAAGTAGAGTTTTGTGATAGAAACGTTGTTATGAACACATGACCCTAACATCTCTTGAAAAAGTACCATTAATTAAATAATGTTTACTGCTAATCTAAAAGGTAGCTCAGGAAAACCCTGTTTATGAGATTTGTGGCACCCCTAAACCCATTTTAAATACATATTCTATGGTGCAGATGTTGTTTTTTAAGTGAAAACAAATAAGTTATCAATGTCATTGAAAACTGTTTTTGCGATTCAGTCCAGCGATATTATTATCAATTTCTTATTAATTTACATTTTACTGAATACCTTGAATTATTAAATAAATTATTTAGAGTATCTGGGTTTATCGGATTTCCATGGATCCCCATCTCTGTCATTACCTTGGGTAGTTTAGGATCTAGTCCTTTTGTCCATATGATGCAATAAAAATAATTCCTATATATGGAAATAATTATTGTCGTTACCTAATAAGGATACCTCTCATCCCACGATTCTGTTATACTTTCAACAAACATTATTTGCAAGTAATAGAATTAGTTTGCTTTGTATTTTTTTCCTTAAAATACAAACATTAAAGTGAAAATACTCTGTGAAGCAAAAAGTTGATTTTTGGTTCAGTGGGCAATTCACAAAATGCAAGTGAGGATTAGTACTTTGCCTGGTTAATATATAAATATGTTTTAGTACATACTTATTTTGAATTAGTTTTGCAATTTGGAGTTATTGTATAAATTGGTGGTCCAACTTACCATGTCCAAATTTTGTTACAGCAAAATAACTTAACTTACCGTTTCATAATCCTTTAAAGCCATTTTAAATTTTCCTAAGGACATATGAGCTGCTGCCCGTCTATAATATCCTTTTACATAGGATTTATCTATCTCAATGGACTTGTCTGCATCAGTTAATGCATAACCAAAGCATTCAGTCTTTAGGTATGCAAAACTTCTATTCGCATAGTACACTGCTACATTTGGATTCAATTCTATTGCTTTGGCATATAGTTCAATTGCTTGGTTAAAATCTTGATCTGAAAAAAAACAACATACACAGGTATTAGGCAGGCATCACATATTTGCAAAAATTGGGTTGTGATATGTAATAATTTTAATAAAAATAATAATCAACATTATTTATGAATTATAAACAGACATGACATTAAATGTGGCCTCATTCACAATGACCATGTTAAATGAAGGTTTTTTTGCTACCAAATTTATTATATGAAGTGAAAATAATACCTTGGCCCTAAGGACACTTAGTGCCATACTGAAAATCTTAAAAACATGATGGATTATATTATTTCACGGTAACAAAATTTTAAATACATGTTTCTGTGGTCTTCTCAGTTTCTCATGCTAATCAACACAATATCTGAAAAACAGCTAACTATTTTTTTCCGACAAATATTCATATTATATCATAGTATAATATAGTGTTGTCAGAAATTAGCTTCCTGGAATTCACATTTACCATAAATTGGAAAACTGAAATAGCTTTTGTATTGAGACTGACAGCGCGCGCAGACTGTCCCAAATTACATTATCTTTTATTACACTGTTTCAATACTAGTTTGTGGAAGATCATGGAATTTATTGACGATTTATTGGCAAATTCGCAACATTTCCTTTGTTCCAATGAGTCTCATCGAGTTACGGGTTATGAGCTCCGAGTTCATTTTCGATGTCATGAAAATGAATCACTCTTCTCTGGACAATCAGAAAATATATGCAAAATCTTTGAGAGAGGAAATTAGTTTCAATGTGCAGTTTTCGCCTATCTTTATCAGACACGGCCAACAGAATTCTTTCATCGGAAGAACTTACAAACATATTTTTAAAAACTCGAAAATATTCTTAAAAAATTCAATGAAATGTGCCGAAATCCTCTAGTATGTCCGTCCCAATTCGCAAGCGTCCACAAGGCCGAGGCAAACGACGGTCATCCCGTCCGCGCGGACAGCTCGCACTTTATTTGGTTTCAAGGGTTCCTCAACTTCTTTGGTCACTTTACCATGCACGTTAATTATACTTTAAAAATTGAGAATGTGTTTAAGTAAGCTGGTCTACACACATTAATCCGTATAAAAATAATAAAATTTACACTTAAAAAGATGTGTTTAATTTACGGCAGTCATAGGGGTAATGTACGACGTTTAAACCTGGCATTCTTTCACATTCTGTATCGTTATACTCTAGTTTCCCTTGAAAGAGAAGAGATTTGAGAGTGGGGGGCGAAATCGTCATTGCCTAGAACCTCTCGTAGGCAGATGTTGCTTGGCAGATGCGACAGAATATCAGGATATTACGTATTTTATTGTATCCCTGGTTGCTCCGCAGCAGTGATGTAACGTTCGGGCCCGCAATGCGGGTGGGTGCAGGTAACAGTGGGCCTATTTTTAGACTAAAGGTTTTGCGATTGTAAGAAATATTAATTTCTTGATACTACGCGATAGTTGATACAATAAAAGATTAAAAACAGCTTCCAGGGGAATGACATTTTTCCGTTTCGGTAATTTATGTAACCCTAAATCAATAAAGGTAAGTAATGCATTTAGGTTTTATTATAGTCATAATTTCATAAAATTAAATAATTAATGCAGATTTTTCCAGTATTGGTTACAAGCACTTTGTTAACAATTAACTTGACCCACAAACTGCCTTTCGATTGTTTAGGTTTGAAGCTTGCCATCTAATGTGATAACGCTCCGACGAGAGCGTTGTCGACAACGCTTTTCCATAAAAAGCAGTTAGAATTAGTGGATTTATAGCATCGTCTTGATTTGTACCGCCGTTAATACTTCAGTTAATAAGACTTGAATGAGATTATACATTGCTAAAGTATTAAGGTGTATTTAAAGAAAAATAATAGTGTGGATATTTTTTTAATAAGGGGCCCGGATGAAAGGGATTAAAGATTAATTTTATGAAGGGGGCCCAGATAAAAGTTTTGCAGGCAGGCCCTCATGCACTTCGTTACGCTACTGATCCGCAGACAGCATTTATTTTCAATTTCCTCGCCTATTGGTATACATAGCGAAATCTGGTAAACCGTCCACTTCGAATAACAGCCATTTCTTCGCGAAACACGCACATTTCCCCAAAAATGTAAATTTTCTAATGTTTGAACCCAAGGTCAGAGACCTGGTACATTTCGTACATTAACCTGTATTATACTCGGATTAAGACAGTGACACTTCAAAGTCGCGAGCTGGACGGGCGGGGGGACACTTATCCAATCCGGAGCTTCGTTGGTTAGATGTTAGCGATTCCGGACGCGTCCCGTAAGTGTAGTACATGTTTCTTTGTGATGAGGTTATAATCTTTTCCCGCTGAAGGGCGAGATCCTGCACCGACCTAACGTCGGCTAGCGGGATTTCCTCAAACCAGGTATCTCCCACCACCGGGGCATGCTCTAAGCTCCTGACCGGTCTCCCAGAATGAGTGCTAGTGTAGTTCATGTTAGAGTGTGTAAGGAGTGGGGATAGGAGAAGGAAGAGAAAGGAAAGATCGTGCGCGGTCCGTGGGCTGTTTGTTAGGGTACTGCTCCGGCATTCGTCTGTTGATCAGCGAAATCACGGAAAACTACCGGTCAGAACAGCTGGTCTCAAGAATTCTCCCCCAGGCAGCAACTTAATTCCACTTATCTGACAAACGTGTCGAAAATCTTGCCACAGTCAAACCTAGAACCTCCAAGTCACAGGCACTGCAGTGACATCAGTTGCTGCACTGAGCCACCTCTGCCGGTTTTAGATTTAGATTTATTCAGTCACAAAAAAACAGTAAAAACTGTATGTGACGTAGGGAGGGGAAAGATAATCTGCGCACGTTTTCTTGAGTTCCAGAATCCCTTCCCGTCATTTTAACTATAAATAGTTGAAAAGTGAATAAAAGTTTAACATAAATAAATAAATTTTAAAAATAAATTTAAAAAATCGTAAGACTAGCAATATTTGAAAAATAGCCATTTTCATTTCTGAGTTATAGAAACCTTATTTGCATCGGTACACAAATTGCAAGTATGATTTTTCTGCCTTGCTAACAAAATAGCAACTCGCCCTTTCCTCTACTCTTACCATTACAAGCAAAAGGTGTAAACAAAACGTGCGCATATTGAAGCAACATTTACGTCCAGAAGCAAAACAAGGGGCCATCTCAGCATTTTCTTAATGGATCAGGGAAACTGGACAAAAACCTGTTCGAGAGGGTCATTGACCCGGAAGCTGAAGTACATTATTTGTTACAAACATTAAGTCTTTTTAAAAATTATACAATACAAAGGTAAACTAATTTATTCTATATCACTGTTTTGTTAAAATAAACATTATTTTTCTTTTTGATCAACAGTAGAGTCTCTAATTGTATTGAAACAGTTATGAAGTAGAAAAGAAATTACTTTTAACTTAAATTTGTGAACGGACTTTAATTGTTTAATGTCATCTGGCAGTTCGCTGTAAAGTAACGTATATGTATTGATGTGGATTTCTGATAGTGAACTGTTGATACTGGCATTTGATGAACGTGATTTTTACGACGAGTGTTGTAACTATAAATATCAGTATTCCATGAAAAAATGTTCCCACCGTTAAGTAAGTCACTTCTGACTAATATTACAGATCCGTAAATATATAGGCAAGGCAGTGGTAAGATTCCAAGCAAAATGAAGAGAGGCTTGTAAGGGTAACGCGGATGGCATTTTTTCATTATTCGAATAATTTTCTTTTGCAATCTAAAGGTCTGAGTACTACATGATGAGTTTCCCCAGAATTTTATACCATATCTCAGGCATCTCTCTGCAAAATCACGCAACGAGCTGCATGAAGGCTGGCAGAATTTGATAGAATTCTGAATGCGTAACATAATGAACTTAATTTAGTGTTCAATTTTGTTATATGTACATTCCATTTGAGGTTTGACTGAACTGACTGACCTAGAAATTTTGTTACCTGAACATCACCTAATTGTATATTATTCATTTTCAATGGAGCATGCGATTGCCGATTTGAAAAGCAAAAATGCATTGAAACCGTTTTTTCCTTCATTATATATTAATTTATTACAAATCAAATTTCAAACTTCTAAAATCGTACTATTTATTGTTTCTTTTTTGCAAAGAACATTCGTGTCATCGGCAAACAACCGTTCTTCCGTTTTTAATAGACGATAGGACCTAAGATCGAGCCTTGCGGAACCCCATATTCAATTGGTAAAGAATTGGAAAGATAAGTAAATACGTTTTGGTATTGGTGCTTCCGATTAGTTGATAATTTCCCTCTCGCCTTCCAGCTCGCGACCTTCAAGCGCCGGAATACAGTTCACTTCATGACGATACGCGATTTTGATTTGAATCGAAAGCGGAAGTCTGGTGGATAGTATTACTGTATGTTATCTTTTTGCCCCAGGACGCAGAATCAGATTGTAGAACACTAAATCAGAGTTGCTTACTTCGCAAGATGATTATTTTGTGCTTCAATTAACAATAAATAATTTTCACGCACGCATTTGTATGAAAAATTACGCATTTTTCGGGACAGATTTCATCCAATTTGACCACCGCGCTCCCGGCGTCACTTTTTGGAACTTTCTTTGGTTTGCTATGACCGTCACGATTTGTTATTTTTGCAGTTTGGAGAGCATTCTAGTATGTTTAATTGTAATGTGAAGTGATAATGTAGTGAGAAATAAAACGTGTGCTGTGTTCTGATCGCTCGTTCCGTGCTCAGTCCTAATACGACTTAATTTGTTACCATAAATACTATGTTCAAGTGTCCATCCTGGATGCTCCAGTTTCGATACCAAAACAATAGCACGTAGAAATGGGCGTCCCTTTTCCTTCCACTTTCTAGACGGAAAAATATGAAACATGACTGTTTAAACGGGCTTAAGGGTGAGAACTGCAGCTTTCAAGTTTAGTCTACGGAAGAAATAATCAGTGTTGTGAAAAAGGAGTCCAAATACTAGGAAATGAATTATTTTGTATAAAAACTGTTGAAGTGCACAGACCTAAAAAAAAGCTTCCGATATCATGTAT